TGTAAATTCCGGTTTAATAATACTTTGATAAAGCTATTAGCATTAAATAGCGAAACGTCAGTAAAAACAATATCGTTTTGTTTTTCATTCATTGGGAAATACAAAAACCTTTATTATAATGAATTTCATATACCCAATGCCCAAATTTTTTCAAACTGTTAAAAGTCAACTTGGTTTGGACATATATAACTTAAAAGTTGTAAAAGTTCTTTTCTGATATTTGTCTCTTCACACAATACTCGTGCCAAGTATGGTACGGTCGAATTTTTATATTTTGTAGTACGAGCATAAATGTTTATGAAATTTCTTCTGGTCTTACCCGAAGAGATACAAGGAAGCAATTGTGAATAAAGAGGATGTTCTCTATCAGACAAGATAACTTTAGCTGAGTGTTTACAAGAATTCATATGCCTATTGACAACAGTGTCAGTTAGTTGAGTCAAAGGGATAGCACTGACCCTACTTACAGCCTACAATGTTCTTCGTAGTATTATATGGTCTTTCTTGAGTAGCCCAGGGAAGAATAATGGAGAACAATAAAGAATGATGGGCAAAACACATGAATTAATAAATTGTATGAGGAGAGGTTGGATTATACCTCAGTGCCTCAACTTCTTTATGTAATAAGTCAGACAGAAAATCTTTTTAGAAACTATAAGAATATGAGACGACCAGCAAAGGTTTGAAGAGAAACTAATGCCAAGATAAGAAACACTTGACTTACTCTCTATCATGGTACCATCAATATTACAACAATCATGAGATTGTATCAATCCATGCATGTCTTTTTCACTTCTCAAGCTGAAATCAATAGTATTACATTTAGTTGGATTTAGTTTAGGACCATTTGAGCCAGACCAATCCTTAACTTCAGCTAAGAAGCCATTCATATGGGAACAATCCGATGTGGAAACTACAGGGACAGAAACGGTCAGATCATCAGCATACTTAATGAAGTTAACTTTGGGTGAGTTCGGAAGGTCATGCAAAAAGAAAGAGAAAAGAAATGGAGAAAGTACTGCGCCTTGAGGCACACCACTTTCAGTTAGCTGAGAAGTGGAACGCTTTCCAGCCAAAGCAGTATGCTGTTTCCTATCCTTAGAATAAGAAGACAGCCATCTAGTTGCCCAGGACTCTGTTTGTGCTGAAATCATCTTTCCTAATAAAAGTGTCCTAGGAACAGAGTCGAAAGCTGCAGTATAGTCTAAAAAAGCTGTTCGAAAGAACTTAGCACCCTTATCAAGGCAGGAAACAATATTGTGGTGTAGTGCAATGGCTGCATCTAATGTACTTCTTCCACACTTATAAGCAAACTGCTTAGGGTCACTAAAAGCTTTTAAAGAAGGTTTAAGAATATTCAAAAACGTTTCTCCATAGTTTTCAAAAAAAGAGATGTTATAGCGACCGGTCTAAACTTTATACCTGCTCCAGAAGATGATTTCTGTACAGGTACAACCTTGATTTCTTTCCAGTCAGCAGGTACCGTTTCCCTGTTAAATGATGCATTGAAGATTTGAGTAAGAGGATGACACAAGATGTCTGCACACTTTTGAAGAAGAATGCTTGGTACACCATCTGGACCAAGGCTGTGTGTTGGATTTAAAGATTTCAAACATAATAGTACATCCTTTTCTTTAAAACCCGGAAAATGACCATTATCTTGACTAGGTACATCAGGTACAACCATATTAATTTGTTTCATGATAAATGATTTGTTTAAAGCATTAACATCAGAATAAGCATCAACATACATTTGTTTTTTACTTGTAAGTTTACTGAAAAGTTTCCAAATGTTTGAAGGATTTTTACATAATAAAAATTTTTCATTGCATAGTCTGTTCAACCTTTCTATTTCAATTTTTATAAGGGTGTTTATTTTACGGACACCAGTATTATCACAATTCTTATACAACTTATCTTTTAGTCTTCTAAGTTTTTTCAGTTGCAAAGAAGAGATTCTGTCAAATCTCGAAAACAGTGTTTCATATGGACAGCAAATATCCAAACAAAACTTCAGATAATCGGTTATATTAGAGACAGTAGCATCCAACTTATCGTCAGTAAATAGTTCCCAGTTGGTATCATACAACATGCTTCTTAGTGCTAGAATGTTGTCATGGGAATAGGAACGTTCATGTATCTTCTTTGTTAAATGACTAAACAATTTTTGTTGTAACTTGCCGTACACTTTCGGTAAAATACGAATAATGCAGTGGTCAGAGTTTAGCAAAGGAGCTGTCCTTCGGGTTTCATATACATCACGGTCGTTTATGAAAGCCAGGTCTAGTGATTTGTCCAGACGTGTATTAAACTTGACTAGATTCTTATGACCAAGTGAAGTAAGAAAGCTGTGATCACATGAATTAAAATCACCACAGACTGTAGACAACGAGTTTCCGAATGCAGGAGCAGCGAATTCAGTAAATTCATCTGCAAACATAACTACATTAGAAAGGCTACAATTGGGTGTTATGTAAATATTTGTTATGTATATATAAGACACCTGACGGTTATGCAATCTATATTCGTCATTAGAATAATTAAAGCAAACGTCATTTGATGTAGACCAATTTGTGTTTATAAAAGTGGCTACCCCTCCTCCATATTTTTTCTTAAAACTTTTTCTATCTTGGCGAAAAACTTTATATCCATTTATTGAAACTAGATTATCATCAAAATGCTGGTGCAGCCAAGTCTCTTGTATTGCTAAAACGCCAGCATTTCGATAAACATTAGAATACATTATGATTTGTACTCATATATATAGTTCATTATTTTTGTTCTTTCATGTTTTTGTATTCAGAATTATATTCCAAGTTGTTGATAGTTGTACTGAGTCACCCTTGTTACATGTATCCGGTGTGACCTTAATGAATATCGATTCTGTTATAAGTCTTTCTTTCTATTTGTTCATGTTAGTTTTTAGAATACACACATTGTTCCAATCGATATTGTGGTTTTTGTCCCATGCATGTGCAGCTATCTATGAATTTTTTTCAAGATTTTTGTAGGCTTGTGTTCCTGTTGGTTGACCTTTCGTTAGGCGTTTATGTTCATTCACTCTTATTTTGAGTGATCTGGACGTTTGCCCCACAGATTTAGTCGGACAGTCAGCACAAGATATTTTGTAAATCAAGTTGAATACAAGTTGTTTTTATCCATCATTTTTATGGGATCTTTCAGTTGATTTATTTTATTTTTGATTAGATTTGTCAGTTTAAAAGTTGTAGTCAGGTGACTAAATGTAGATGAGTGTTTCGTGGTTGAAGGTATCGACGTTCACGAATTGTACGGAGTATACTAACGCAAGATCTTATACCAACAACTTCTATAGTGTTCGCTCTTCGAGTACCAAAGACAAAGCAAAAGACCAGATTTAGTCGTCCAAAGTACGTAATATATTTCGGGACCAAATCGCGGGTTGAAGTAAATGCTTAGCTGGCTAGTGATCGTGCACGCACGTGACACGACGGGGTACCAAATGGCGGGGATGCTTGACCGGAAACCTTCAGCTAAACAAGCTGACTTAAACAGTGATGGTCAGCATCCAATGTTGAGTGATGATTGCTGTGGTTGTCCTACATGTCCATTTGTCATCTAGTAAAAAATTATGTTGATTCTCATCTAGCGAATATTTGAATATATCAAAATGGTCATGATATGAAAAGTATGATTATAAGGGCTTCTCAATACTCAACTGATAGGTATAGTTTCAGATCGTGAGGAAAGATTATACTGATGACGACTGTAGATATACCTTCTTGAAAAGAGCTACAAAGCAAGAGATGCAGATGATCCCAAGGTTCCTGTCACTTATCTTCTATCAAAATATAGATTTCACTCATGCTACAACATTTGTATAACTGTATCATTGATAGTTCAATAGGATCAGACTAGTTACCTCAGTCAGTAGGTTTTCTTAAAAGCAAAACAGACTGATTGAAACATGAGAACTGTTAAAGTCATCATGGACTGACTGACTGACTGGTTTCAACATAGAACTTTGCACCGACATGCAGCAATTCGAGTAGCCAAACTCCATGTACCACACACAGCAAGGAAAGAGAGTAAAAAGAAATGCAAAATAGTGACAGTAAACCGAGATATTAGGCAAAAAGAATAGTAATGTTGAAGAACAATATAGTTTTATTGGGGATTATAAGTCACAAGGAGTGGATGCATCTGCGCCAGCCAGTGAGAATGATGAGTTTGACCTACGTCACTAATTGTTTCCAGCCATTGGTTTTTACCGTCCCGAGGACCCCAACCAGGAAGCCAGTCTACACCTCCTTACGTGGCTGGCTTAAACTAATTGTTGTGGATTTCATTGACTGATCAAGCCATGTTTCGGTTTGACCACCAGTGGCCCTTTTCCAACCTGACCATATGTCAGCTAACATTACCATTCAGAGCTCAGTGTAAGCCTATACGAATTAAACTGTATCAAATTTTATCGACCATTATTTCACTCCATACAGTTAGATATTCATCACAAAAACATGTATAATGCATACATTATCCACTGTCTTTCAATAGAAAACTACATTTGCTAGTTTATTTTAGTTTCACACACACACTTTCACGTTTCAGAATTATGAAAATGCTGAAAACATTTGTTACCACGCAACAACCAATCAAAATTCATTTTAAGCGATTATGAAAATACGGGAAAGTAGTGTCCAATATTCATATTACATATTATCAACCATACAGTATGCTTTACTAGAATTACACACAAACATGCACAAAATATTAACACAGTGTTTAGGCACAATTCAAGGCTAATGTGAATATCACGTATTTTATGTTACTTTCACGTGTTTTCATAGCCAAGGTGAATCGCTCTATGCACACATAATCGTCTGATTTTAAACCAATAAAAAGACAGTAAAATTTTTATTTAAATCAGTTATTCTTATTCCTACACCACTATAAATATCTCTCTCAACTTCCATACAACTAACTACAATACACGAAAAGATAAATCAATTTATTTGAAGTCATGAGTGAATCAAGAGCCAGACAATATTTCGCCAAAGAATGTGAAGATGCTCTGAACAAACAGATCAACATGGAACTGCAAGCTGCATACGACTACATGGCATTCTTCACCTACTTCGATCGAGATGATGTCGCCTTCCCGAAGGCTGCTGAATTCTTCCGAAAGGCATCACATGAAGAACGTGAGCACGCTGAGAAATTGGCGAAGTATGTGAACAAGCGTGGTGGTCGTGTTCAGTACAGCGGTATCAAGACTCCAACGAAGACGGAATTCAGCGGTTTGGAGGATGCGATGAATACTGCACTTGCAATGGAGAAGGCAGTAAATGAAGTGAGTCATTTAGACAGTTATAGGTCTTTACATTACTATGTGGATAAAAAGCAGAATGCACCTTATGTTGTCATTGCTTTATTCAAATTTATTAGGAGGGATTCGTGTAAGAAATCCAGTACTTATTTGTTAGGTTGCGTACATGCACACCTACACTTGACAGCTATTAATGATGCTATTTATTAGTTCTTTAGCGCTTGAATTTGTAATGAAAGTAGAAAGATTTTCCCTTAAATTACATTCACGCCACTCACTTCATGATAACTGATTTCAGCCACACGTTGTATAGCTAGAAAATCATTTTGAGTAGCTTTCAGCTAAGATTGAATCAAAGAATTTGCATTATAAGGAATGAGGCCATCAGTTTGACTTGCAGTCAAAGCACAGCTGACTGATGTACGGTGTGAGTGATGGAAGGTGTTTATCTGTCCTTGAGGAATTATTGTGTCAGGACATTATGTGTTCCTTGTCGAATTCACTTGCTGAAAGATAAATAACTCTGCATAGCTGCCTAGATATCACCTATAAAACAGCTTATCTTAAGAGCTAATGAGACTCGCGATCTAAAATCTTTTAATTATGAGAAATTTAAGCTATCTATCGGCATCAAAGATTTAAATTTAAATGAGGAGCATTATTTCAATAAAAGCACACAGGGATATTGCATTATTTACTGATGACACTTCGATCACAATCATTGCTCGTTATCCCATCAAGGTGCCCACAAAAATTTCAAGCTTTTGTTTATGCAAGTGAATACAAGTGTTTCAAACTTGGAACGTTCTAAGTACAGTCATACAGTATACCGTCTATTTTAAAAAATTTACATGGTTTATTTTCCATTACGGTCCGAATTGTGTCACTCACTTCTTCTCATTCATAAAGACAAATAGAAGCATAAAACGTAGTAGTTTGAACTTCACTTGGTAATGAGAAATAACCACTTAACTGAATGGACTAAAATCGGCATCAACTGTTTCCATGGTATCTGTTAAGCGTTTCTCAATTTGAACACCTTTAGTACAGAGCAGATTCAAGAAGTCAGATGATATGAAACTTTCCACGATCTTGCTACACATCCATTTGTAGCAAGAATACATAATGCAGGCTATCCATTTATTGACAATCGAATCAAAGTTTCCCTTGACTAGATGGCATAACTTCAACGATAATTTGACTCATTCAATAAAATGGATAGTAGCTTTAAGTGATGAAAGTACAGCTGTCACGTCCCAGTTAATCCTTTAATAGACAATTTATGCACCAACTGAGTCTGCTCTATTATTTAAACCTCGCCGTACACCGGCCACTAGAGTTTGCAGCTCATACAAGATGACGCCTTAACTGCAAACTTGCCAACCGGTGGGAATCATGGTGTCATCTATATTAGGCTTTTCTTTGAAAACCATTTATTATTATATATAGTCAAATAACTTAATGTTACCAATTTTCTTTTCAACTCATTCACAGTCACTACTGAAATTACACGGAGTGGCAGTGAAGAACAATGATCCAGCATTAACAGATCTTCTTGAAAGCGAGTTCCTGCATGAACAAGAAGATGCAATCAAACAATTCGCCGACTATATCACACAGACAAAGCGAGTTGGCAGTGGACTTGGTGAATATTTGTTCGACAAGCTGACACTAAATGAATGAATGAATGAGTGAATGAATGAATGAAACTTATTTGTATACCACTGACATTGTTAATGATCTGCACACTTTTTTATTTCTGAAGTAGTGTGGTTTTGTAAATACATTAATATTTTATTCCGTATCTATTTTTGTCTTTCTAGTCTTGAGATCTGGTAACTTTTTGAATATTAAAGTGGAGTTATGAAGCCAGTATATGCCAACTGAAATAGATAGTAAATAGGTCTCCCAAAATAGCGGCAAGGGATATTATAAATGTTCAGACAGGTGACGTAACATTAAGTCATTGGGAGTTTTGCGTAGTCGTTCATAATTAATCTATTTAGAACAAGTTTAATTTCAGTAAGTTACTGTCGTCAGTCATAAATGATTTTCCCCTCAGAAATCCAAACTCCTAATTCAGACATTGTATTCATGCAAATTATTGCCTTGTTCTTGCTCTGAGCCCCTTCACTTGAATATAATACACTGTTGCAAAGTAGAGGCTTACATTTTTGTGATTGTATTTCATTCTTCGCAGAAAAATAAAGCTAAATAAGACATTAAGGAGACATAGTTTCGTATCTTAGTTCCTCTACAATCGCTTTACAACTAGCATAGTTAATAATAATAAAACAAAATAAAATGTGTGAACAATTACCAAGCATATAAACACTAATTACCAATCATATTTCAGTAGGTCAAGTAGTCAATGATAGGCTGTTATTAAGGCCAACTTTGTGACCAGACATTAATAAGTGCTTTGCATTGAATGATGATTGATTTCTACTCAGATTGGTAGGGGTTTTGTTTGGTTGGTTGGAGGATTTCATCATCAGCTGACATCAGCTGGAGAGCCATCGGAAAACCTGGGAGTACTGGATAGCTATTTCGTCCTAGTTTGGGACTAGCCCTATTCAGGCAGTGACCTGGGGTTCTAATGGGAAGCCGTGACCAGTAGGATACAGCAGGTTGAAGCTGAGGCAGTAACTCATCGAAGAAGACATTGCGAAGTGGTCACGCTACGTCGTGAATTGGCAGAAGTTAGAATTCATGGACTGGCTATTGGATCGGGTCCCAGTGGCTTGATGGTCTATGAGCTGGCTAGCGTTGTAACCAGGAGGTCCTCGATTCGAACCCTAGTGGCGTGGGTGCATGCTGTGTAGAGTCCCAATCTAGGCTGACGAAACAGCTGTCCGGTACTCTCATGTTTTCCAGTGGTTCTTTAACTGATGTCAGATCATGATGAAATCCTCCGACTAATTTTCTATGTAACTTAATAACCCCTTTGGAACATGTCATTTGCGAATACACTGGAACATTCTACCTACATATGTGTCACCATAACTGCAGGTGAACCTGTAAACCGTCCTCTAATTGTAGGTACAGGAATCGAGAATGTTTTGAGATGTAAGCGAAAGACAATGGACGTAGAATCTGTACTTGATAGCTGCTTGTCAATAATTTCACATAACTGTAATTCAAGGTTATTAAAGTTGATGGAAGCACTTTGGATTAATCACATTCATCCCAAACACTATGTACAACAAACAATAGACTTCAACCGTTACCTATCATGGACTATTTGATCTACTGAAATATGATTGGCTATCAGTGTGTACTTTTGTATTATATACCTGGGTAATTGTTCACACATTTCATTTTTTTTATTATAGCTTGATTCCAAACAGTATTTTTCGTACAAGTATGGAATTTTCAGCATGTGATATCAGTAAACCAAATTTAGTAGGCCGACCACTGATATCAGGTGTGCTAGTTATTAAGCGATTGTAGAGAAATAGCGAAATCAAATCACGTCTCGATGCTTGTCTTCCTAATGCCTTATTTAAATTGCAAAATATAGAAAAAATCCCCATTTAGACATTCAGAAAACAGAAAGATTGAGCGAAGAAATATTTACTTTACAATTAGATCCCCACCTCTGGCCCTACTCTAATACATATATAGCATTTTTATTACAATACACAACAGTTTACCAATCAAGTGGCGATACGTTTGTTAACAATAATTAGTCAGTGTCAAAATGTCAATGGGTTGATAATTAACAAAGAAAATCAATGCACATTTAAAAGGTAGAAAAGGTTAGAATAGATTAATTTTACAAGGATAACACGTAAATAAAGATGAAGTGGTCAGAAAAAAATAAAATAATTTGGACAATTATCATTTTTATAGTTTTTAAAGGTTTAGGGGGAGGGGGCGAAGTAGTCCGGTTTATACAGTCATGTAACGATGGCCGAGGCAAGGAAAGTGGCTGTACAAATTTTTTCTGAACACACAAGTTTGGCTTCTTCAGGTGGATTCCTATGGCTTCAGCTGTCTGTAGAAGACGAACTCGTAGAGCAAAATTAAGATTAGTAGGAATGCGATAAATAATTTTAAATGCAGTATTAACATCAACCTTATGCTCACTATCTACAAGGTGTGCTAAAATAGAGCTACGAATAGATCTTGTTTGTCCCTTGCTTAATCATGTTGGATGATGAACCTGGCTAATTGTACACCCAATGTAGCTGGCTCCGCAGCTGCAGTCAAACTGTTAGATACACATAGAAGAGGCACATTTAGGCAGGTATCCTTATTTCTCGAACGTAGAATGCGGGTGGTTGTGAAGAGACAACGTACATCTGCTGCATAGTAAGCTCTTTTAACTGCATTCTTCAGGCGCTGCGTTATGATTTCGCTGATGTTGTCTCCGAGGAAGTGCAATTTTATGAACATTGATTTCTTCTGAACTGCAGCCATACTGACTCTCCTTGGTGCTGAATTCATATTTTTCTCAATGAATTTATCTGGATAACCATTTTTTCTAAGTAATTCTCTAATAATCTTAAGCGCCTCATTGAGGCAGTCGTGTGAAAAGACTAACCTGGCTCTATGAACCAGACACTTCACCAGGTTACGTTTATATTTCAGAGGTACAAAATTCAAAAAATGAGTGTACTGACCTGTTGTTGTAGGTTTCCTATACACACTCCTTCTTAGTGTGCCATCTTCTTTCCTTGCCATGAAGACGTCTAGGAATGAGATACTGTCATTGCTTTCTTTCTTTATGGTAAAGTTTATTGCTGAATGTGCATCATTAAACTTGTCAAGGATGTTCATTGCATTATTCTTGTTTTTCATAACCAGAAATGTATCATCCATATATCGACAGTAGAAATCCAAGTCATTAATTACTCCTTTCAGTGGTCCATTCTCCAACTTTGTTAGAAAAAAATTAGCTAGGATTGGACCTAATGGGGAACCCTAATATATACGCAGGTGAATCATTAATATTCATTATTTATTTCACACACTAGCATAATCATTGATTTCACGCATCTGCGTGATTATTGATTTAAATTACTGAATTCCCAAGGTCGTTAATATTTTTAAAATGTGACATTGATTTTTCTAATTGTATAAATACGGAGTTGTTGTTTAACATTTTCGACTGTTGTTTGAGACAGTAAAAGCTCTCATATCAACGTCCAGTCTTCTCTTTTATTTGTCTTGCGTGCCCGGCGGTATTATTGTTGTTGTTGTTGACGTGCGATTAGGACAGATTAGCCAGCGCATTAAATTAGATTCGCTCGTAGTCTACAAGGTCCTCATATTCACATACATAACAAACCCATAGTCTGTAATATTCCTTATTGAATAAGAAATGAACATTCATTGTACATCTTAAAATAAGTTCCTTCAAGGTGGATACAGAAATGCCGATGTCCATGTTTCGTGTAGTAATCTCCTCACATATAAAATCTACTGTCTCCATTAGTGGTACATTGGTGAACAAGGAGGATACATCAAAAGATATCGTAAACGTGTCCTTCACATTAAGATCTCTCATTTTTCCAACAAATTCAAAACTACCGTTTACGCTATGTTTTACCGATTCATTATGTAGAGGCTTTAGCAGCTTCACTAGCCATTTTGTTGTTACGTGATATGGGGAATTACCCATGTCCAACACTGGTCGAAGCGGCAGACCAATTTTATGCACTTTGGGTAGTCCATATAATCTTGGATCTAATTGAAAAGTAAATATTTCTTCGCTCAATCTTTCTGTTTTCTTATTTAAATTTAACAAAAAGATCAAGTGTTTCAACATAAGGCTAAAACAAACTAAAATGAAGGTTTACTGATAAAGCCTCTGACACATAAACTGTATGATTTTGGATAAGTTTTTGTGGCTCGACGTCATAAACCATATTATAATTATCATCAGTATGCAGTATGAAGGGAAATAAGATCACGTTTGGTAATCTGACAGATAACAAATCTGATGGAAGACAGTGTTCTGAACTGATAAAGATAAGCGGTGTATTTTAGGGTTCCTCGCTTCACCTGGTTAGCGTGAACACACCGTCGACACACATCAACCTCAGTTATCTACAAACATTTGTGTTTTTCAGCCTTTCAAGTATTGGTAGTATTCACTTTTCAATTGTTGAGTCATACAGATAAAAAAAGAATAACAGCCATTTGAATGTGATTCCCTGTTTTCAAAATGCCAAATATTACGTAAACGTCTGATACAAACATAAAGTAAACAATATTTATGCAACAGATAACAGACAGGAATGTCATTCATCCACTGTTAAATACACATTAAATGACATTAATTACCGTGGTGAGTGAATGTCACTGTTAAATTGTTGAAATTACAAGGATGATGAGATCGATATCGTATGATGTGTTGTAAGTTTATTGATCTTGAAGAATTTTAATTTCTTAAATAATATTAAAGATAAGATTGAAACATGTTGAATATGACAGAGTATATTTCCACAATAGAATGATTTATTTGATGCGTATAATGATACAGTTTCATGTATTTACCGTTTTTGAATATTACAGTAAATAAGTGTCACTTTCCACTTGGTCAAAATGAATTATTCTGTTACGCAATGTTCTGGCCGATAATAAGGACGACGTATCTGAATAGATATCTAACTAAATGTCTGATTTGAAGTTTAAACTTCAAATGGTAAATCACATTCCCGTATATGTGCAATATACTGGTGAGAGAATTCGACGCTATTCACATCAAACTTATCTACACTTAAACTCGTTAACTTTCCCAAGATTGGGACTCTTCAAGGCTGAAACCAGAGAGGAATTCAGAATGAAGAAT